TTAGTGTTTATATAATGTAAAGATACTCCTTTTTGCAGTGATCTATCGTCTAACTATGAGTCAGACGTTCCACATCCATACCAACAGGAAATTCAGAACTTTGTGGTGCCCAGCGGTCAGATGGAATCAAAGGAACCTATAGTAAGTCTTTGAGATAGTTCTGTATGAGGTGGTTATGGATATGACGAGTAATGAGCGAAATTGCGGTTTTCGGCGACCCAGCAATTTTCAGGTGATGGGGGGGGGGCAAGAGGTGGCTCAACTGAGGTGGTTCTTTTGCCTCTCTCGTCGAGATAATAATCTTTCTACCTCCTAGGGCTCTTCGAAAAAAAAACCGCAAAGGGACGCAGTCCGCGTGGTTTCGCTCCTGGGCGCAGAGTGCGCTGCGGACGTTGGCACTTGTTAAGGGGACAGGGTTTGGCGCGGCACTAATCCGTTCTCCACCAATTGTTGGCACCGCGCCAAACTCAGCTCATCTGACACGGACCAGCATCCACAGCGTAGAAGACAGTACATGGTGACCTCTTTTTGTCCTACCATGCCAGTCCAAATTCTAGCGCCATCCTTTTTGAGGACTATCCCTAGCCGAATTAGATAGGCAGTCGTCACTTTTTACAACGTTGTTACGTTGTTGTTACGTTTTAAGGATACTTCAGCTCTCGATTTTCAAGACAAGTAGGCCTCCTTTTGTCATTTTCGTACAGCTCAGTAAAATGGTGATTGTGCAGGCACCACTGGAGTTCGAAGGAGCTCCCGTGACAATGGTCAAGACAAAAGAAGAATTAGAACGGTTAAGAGACACACTGAACAATTGCCAAGAGTTTGCTGTGGATTTGGAGGTACGTGTAATGTTTCAAGCGCCAGATGTCCCCAGAATAGCCGCATAATTCCAGCATCACGACTACCGTACTTACCTTGGTTTGACCTGTCTCATGCAAATATCCACAAGAACGGGAGACTATATCGTCGATCCATTCCCATTATGGAATGAGATGCACATTCTCAATGATCCTTTTACGAATCCTGGAATTTTAAAGGTACATCATCACTGAAGCTCATTGCAAAATTGTTGTTAGAAGTAACTGTTTTTGAAGGTATTTCATGGAGGCGAGCACGATATCGAGTGGTTGCAAAGAGATTTTGGAATCTATGTGGTTAATATGTTTGACACAGGAAGAGCTATGCGCCGTCTTGAGATGCAAAAATTCAGTTTACGTTATCTGGTGCAACATTACTGTGATATAACTTTGAACAAGAAGTATCAGCTGGCAGACTGGAGAGAACGGTAAGCCTTTAAAGACAAACCTCACAACTGCTTGTGGTGGAATGGCGTTCAGTTGCTTATTGTTTATTAATGGACGCAGGTATAAGCCCACGTGACAAAACAAAACCAGAACAATGAACAGCATACCAATGCACATCGAAACAGAAGTAGGGATCAGTAAACATAAGAAGGCATAAGACAAAATTGTAAGAAAAAAAATGATGAGGTAATGAAATAGCACATGAGAAATATCACACCAAGCAAACCCGCGAATCCTCAAGGTTCACCAATTTTTTGGCAACATGCTTGAAGGAATTCAGAGAGAGATGCATGAGGTAACGACGCAGAAGTTTGTTGAGGGAAGATACTACCCTTACAGAAAAGAATTTGGAGCGGATCTGGGTTTTCACCAGCGGAATCTTGATTTTAGTATCATGCCTCCTTGCTCTAAGGGTACGAGTGAAGAAAGATTCGGAACTGACGGCAGTCTTACCAGTAAGGATTTTGAAAGCCATAACGAGGTCAGTCAGTTACAGACTGTAGTGGCTGAAAGATCTCCTTGGAAGGAACAAGCGAAAAGAACATGGAGAGAAGCATTTTAGGTCAGTGAAGGGATATCCTACCGCTTCTGACTTTTGACGCTAATCCTTTCTTCGCATCCGATGGTAATACCGCTCAACAATGAAAAAAAACCGCCTCAAAAGTGAACCTGTGACAGAAAACATCCTTTGAGTTCTGGTGGGCGGGACAACTAGCGAGGCGTCGGAGCTGCCACTTGTGAGGGACACAGCGCCTTCGTCACTTCACTGTGAAGCCGCGAAAATGGGATAATCCCAGATACTGAGAGC